GTTTTGGTCTGGGGAGTCTCAGAGATGGTGAATAGAGCCATAGGACAGTTAATCATTTGGCGTTTCAAGTAGTGATGAGGTGGGTTATGGGCCCATCATTCAGTTTCAGAAACTGAGACCTTTGCCCCTTTTGCCAAAAAGAATCTGACTCCTGTTTGTCTATGGATCCCAGAAAACCCTTAAACTTTTAGGTTCCTTATCGACTCCCCTTATCTCTCTAACCCCACCTTCTGATCCTTTCAAACTTCTACCTTCCAGTTCCCTTCATTATCTATTCCCATTGTCTATTCAATCTCTCAGACCTTCCAATTGCAATTCTCATCTAGACCCTTTTCCCAGCCCCCTCCTCTGGCCACCCAAAGTTACTTTAGTGTATACAAGATCCACCCTGGACCCCATTAAAATTCTGAGAATCTCTTATGCCTAGAGGCTGAGACTGTCTCATGCCTGCTCGTCCTTACAGGCATCACCTGGCCTATGTGATTTATCTCTAATAAACTTTTCTCTGGCTGAAAGAAGATTTGAGTTGAATTCTTTCAGGCAGGGCCTGGTGCCACCATCTTGGGGTCCATTCAAACACCCTGAAACCTCTAGACCTCTTCAGTAGCAGTGGTAGAACTGATTTGTTTATTGCTCCAAGAGCAAGCAGTAGAAAAGGGGTTTGAGGATAAAAAGACTATATATATGTGGCAAGATAGGAGATGGCAAGATGTCAGGCATATAGCATGGTCCAGAGTTGGCTGGATATAGGGGGTGATACAGGTAAGTGATGCAATGGATAGAACACTGTGCCTAGAGTCAGAAAGACCTGAGTTTCAATCTAGCCTCCAAACACTCAGTAGCTATGTGATCCTGGGCAAGTCACTTAAATGGTTTGCCTCAGTTTCCTCATCTGTAAAAAAATGGGATAATAATAACACTTAGCTCCCAAGGTTGTTGTGAAGATCAAGTGAGATAATAATTATAAAATTCTTAGCACAGTGCCTGGCACTTAGTGGGCACCATTACTATTACTGTTATTCACTCACCAATCCGGACATCTCAGCCCCAGGGTAGAGCTCCAAAGCTGAGTGGATTAACTCCCCTGGGGAGGAGGGGCATGACTTCTGGAAGTCCAGACTGGCAGTGCTGTTCTAGGTGTTAAGCGAAGGAGATGGTGAGATGCCAGGGGTGGATGACTGGATGGAATGTGAAGCTTGGTCTGGGGTTGATTTGCACTTGTTCACTCAGTCACCAATCAAGACATCTCAGCCTCGCGGTGGAGTTCCAAAATCTCACGTGGATTTACCTTTTCCTGAATTGAATTGAATTGTTGTTGAATATTTCAAACCCCTCCATTTAAGAGTACCTATAGTTAAGTAAATGTTTGAAGCATTTCAAAGGATATGATCCTTTCCCCAACATTTTACCACAGTCACTGTTGAAGCAGAAAGATGCCTTACAAGACTAAGGGTTATTTAAAATGTTTTCATTCTTCTGTAGGTTGCTATAGCCAAAGAATTTATGACCATTTATGATCAGCCGTAGTGATTATCTTCTCTGTCCTTAGCTAGGATGATCCACAGAAAGCAGCAGTATTCTGTTGTCTGGGCCAAGATCTAAGCCCTTCCAGCATGTTAGAACCTGCCAGAGCATATACTCCCTTGGCATAGATTCAAGAACCCAGGATCACTTCCATGCCGGGATGAGATATCAGAGTTGAACTGAAAATGGTTGAAATTAAATCTCACCATTTATTTTTCCCTCAGAGAGACATACCACATGGTAAACTGAGCTATGTCTGAGAATCTATGTTCTTGGGTATGTTTGAGGCATGTGAAATGAGGACACCTTAAATAAAGCTTTTTTTCTCAATTTTTTTTAATTTGAGTATTTGTTGTTCATTCCGTTCAGTTGTGTCTGACTCTTTGTGACCCCATTTGATGTTTTCTTGTCAAAAATATTGGCCTGGTTTCCTTCTCTAGCTCTTTTTACGAATGAGGAAACTGAGGTAAACAGTTAAGTGACTTGACCAGGTTCACACAGCTAGTGTCTGAGGCCAGATTTGAACTCAGTTTTTTCCTGACTCTAGTCCTGGCATTCTATCTACTGCATCACCTAGCTGTACTTAAAATGGTATATAATTATAATCCCTTGACATTGATCCCTGAAGTTCCTAATAACCTTCTCATTAGGGACTTCACACAGCACCCTCTCTAATGCACTTAAACAATACTGTGTGTTATAGCTCTCTTTGTTGATATTTTATCCCTCTATGAGATTCTAAGCTCCAAGTGGACAAGTAAGATGACATATGTAAGCTTTGTAACTCCCACAGTGCTCTGCAATCAGTGGTGCTAATAAAGATAATGAACTAGGACTATGACACTAATTATCAAATTTTTGTTAAAAGGTTGAGTGCCTTGTGTATAAATTGCCTCATGCCGTCTACAAAAATGTTTGTAAGACTAGATAAATACTTTAGAAAGCTAATTTTCTCCTAATCAAAAGGCAGTTTTGGCTCATAATATGGGAAGTAGCTCATTCACTAGTTTGTCCAACTTAGATGCTTAACAGAGTTGGATAACCTCCTAATTGCTTCTCAAGAACAAAGAATGGGCAGCCAGTAGGAGAAAATACCCATTTGCCAGGAGGATCAAGGGAGGTCATTCAGTGATATCATTGTTGATTTTTCCACTTAGAAATATCAATAATTTCTTTAGGTCCCTACAGAGTTTTGCATAGGTTTCCAAAGTGGGTGATACCGCCCCCTGGAGGGCCCTGGAATGATCCAGGGGATCAGTAGTAGCCTTGGGTGCAATTGAAGGGTGTTGAATAAAAATAAGGGGACAGTGGAAGCGTAAAGAAATAGAAGAAAATTTTGAAGAGCTGTTCATATGTGTTTCATCTGTTGTGTAACTAAGTTAAAGTCATAGTGATTACATTATATTCTAAATAAACACACAAAATGCAAATTATAACCAATCAGTGGTCAACAGGTCTTACCCTGCTAGCAGGTCTTAACAAGCTAGTGTTGGCAGGTGAGCATATCCTGCATTGTTGGGAAGTCTAGCATGCATCAGCAGGAATATGTGTGTGTAATGACTTGTTTACAATATGATACTATACAGTTACATCACACAATATTTTATCATCCAAATTTCAAAGTAGGAAAAAACACAAATTTACAATAAATTATTAAATTTAAGATGCATCATTTAAAAATATTTTATATTTTTTTGAAATGATGCAAATTAAAAAAAAACTTTAAATGGTTAAAGAAAGTTTTTGGTGGGGCTGAGTAATTTTTTTTTTTGTGTGTAAAGGGGGCAGTAGGACAAATAACTTTGGGAACCTCTGTCTTAGAGTTTTAGAGAATGTTTATCTCTAATTTATCTCTAACAGAAATTAGTCTTTACTTCTGTACCTTCTTTTTACACTTCTAATTCCAGGGAATGCTGTATGAATGGTCACACTAGCTTCTAGAATAGCTGTCTTATAATATAATAATGAGTGATTAAGATAGTGGAAAAACCATTGAACCTGGAGTTGGAGGACCTGGGCTTGAGCTTCAGCTCTGCCATGTACTTCCCTGAATATAGTTTTCTCATCTGTAAAACAAAGATTATAAGAACCTGCAGGTATGTTGTAAAGATCAAATGGGAAAATGGATATAAAGGAGCTTTGTAAGTTGTAAAGTGCTATATAAATGAAAACTATCATTTGAGGGTCAAGATACTTTATTCTTCTTTTGTGGTTGATTCTAGGGAAACCTCATTTCTTGTCTCAGAGGAGAATGGCTTTATTCATTATGAATAAGAGGCAGACCTACACACGTTAGTTTATTTTCCTGATGATGCTAACTTGATGATGAAAGTTTAACAATTGCCACAAAATAGTCAAAGGAGATTCATCCAGGATTTGAAGTCTTATGCACAATTTGCTTGTGGTGTACATATAATTTGTATTTATTAAGTTTTTGTTTTTCTTTCTAGTTAATCTCTAACCATGAGAGCTTAATAAATAAAATATTTTTTTTAAATGTTTTGAAATTCTGTTTAGGAGTCAGACAAGATTCATCCACCAGGCCACACATTGTGAAAAGATACTACAAGAAGCTTCACGTTGGCCATTATTTAGTATGTACCATTTTGTGGGTTTTCCTCACTATAACATGTGCAGTAGAGCCATAGCTGTGTTGAGACCCAGCTGAAGCTAGGCTATAAAGGGGATTCTGCCCGGACACCTATCACTAATATCATGATGAAATCTCAGCAGCATTGCATATTTCACTTAGAATGCAACCTTTCTCCTAACAGAAAGATGAGTTTATTAGGGGAGGGAGAGGGGATTTCCTCCAAACCTATCTTTTTGTTCTTCCTAATTTCTTTGATTTCATTTCTACAAACCCTTTCTAAATGTAACCAAAATGCATACAATAAAGAAACAAACCTGAGACACAAAAGGCCAGAGTACATGCTTATTTACTGTACTTAATTGGTAATGTTTCTTCTCCTTCTCTGGCACCCTCCCAGGAGAGTTCACCAGTTCGAACTTTTTCACTGCTTGACAATTTTCCTTTCACAATACAGCTACATATAAAGGGAATTTGGGTTATTTTCTTCCTCAAATGGCAGTTTCACTGGGTTACTTCACTACTTAACTTCCTCTGTGTCTCCCTCCCCCTACATGCCCCACTGTCACTGAGGCCTGGCTAATGATTTATAGATACCCTTAGAACTCTGACTGAAAGCCTGCCTTCCTGGACCCTGCAGGTATGTGCTGGCTATGTAATGGGGGATGCAAAGGCAGACTTCTGCATTTGCTTCTGAACCCTTTCCTCTGTATCTTTCCAACAGATTCTCTTGAACCTTGAGACTGTTGAGTAGTGAGGTTACTTCAGTTTGGTATCTAACTTGATGTCACTTAATAAACTTTTATTGTCCGCTTACTAAGCAAGCTTTACAAATTGTCATCAACATCCACAGCAGTATTGCTATCATTATAAGCACTTGGTGCTTCTAGTAAATATTCTGGAAGGCTTTCAGTTTTGACATTGGAGACTCTCGCTCTGCTTCCAACTGCTGTATCTTCTTTTCCCTTTCCTCCAAAACTTCTTCTAGCTGATTGATCTTCTCTGTCTGTAGTGAAACTTGTGTAGACAACTCCATAATCAGACTAATTCTTCTATCTCCTTCTTCCACAGGTGGAAGGCTTCTGCAGGACTCTTCCAGAGAGTTTTCTTCTAAAACAAATAAGAGAAGGAAAGTTGGAATAGTTTTAATTGGATTTCCTAGAACCCAAAGATAGGGAAGAATAAAGAGCTGCATTTCTCAGTTCTTAAAAAGAAAACAGAGGAAACAGAGGTACTACGTCAGCAGAAAGGAAGAATCATTCATTGTTCATGTCAAGTTTTGTCGACGAAGGATAAGCAGTACCGTGCTTTTAGATCATTGCTAAAATAATAAGTGAGGATTAATCTTTGCAGACTGGGGCCTGTAAATTCATCATAATGATGGTTAAGACTAGGGATAGGATTAGCATATTAAAGTTGTAAACAATCCACCCCAAAGTTCTTCAAGAAGAGAGTAATATATGGATTTCATAAGAGGCAAGATCAGGTAGAAAAAAGACTATCTAGTTTAAGATTCAATTCATTTTTATTCAACTCAATTAAAATACATTTATCTTGGCCCTTTTCCAGATAAAAGCATTAATGAGATGCAAAATATCTCTTTTAAAAGTATCAACCCTTCCACTCTCAATAGCTCACATCTATATAATACTTTACAAACACGATCTAATTCATTCTTCCCAGCAAACCTGTAAAATAGACAGAGTTAGGATTATTATCTGTATTTTACAGAGAACACTGAGGTTTGTGCAAAGTCAAACAGGTATTGAGTAGCAGAGTCAGAAACTGAACTTTGGATTTCTGATAAAGTCCAACAGGGTGTTTTCAGAAATTTTTACTCTCACTTGACAGAGTAAGGAATAACTTCATAGAGCAATGAAAGAAACTCTAAGGAAAGTTTCTTTTTTTTTTTTTTATGAGGCAATTGGGGTTAAGTGACTTGCCCAAAGTCACACAGTTAGTGAGTGTTATGTGTCTGAGGCTGGATTTGAACTTAGGTCCTCCTGACTCCAGCGCCAGTGTTCCATCCACTGTGCCACCTAGCTGCCCCCTAGGGAAGTTGTTCTAAGCACTACCAGCCAGAAAATGCAAAGATCCATTTCTTAAAGACTTCTCTTACAAACTCTTAATGCAATGCATATGCCCCCTGATAGGGGTAAAAACTTACTCCTTATTAATAGGGATCAAGACCCTGCTGAAAATAGGAACCAGGATTAAGGCCTATAGCAAGAAGTTGGGAGTGTAGGAACGCTCCAAAGGTGGAGATCTCTTGTCCTTACTTCACAATTTTGCATGGGGCTGGAGAGACTGGAAAAGCTGCCCTCAGGTTTTACCTAGCCCAAGAGGTCAAGCATTAGAGTCACTTCTCTCATCCCCACAAAAAGCATAGATCAAGAATAAGAAAGCTAAGCCAAACTCTCAAGAGCAGAGTTGTCTAGTTGCAGTTAAATGACTATTATATGTTAAAAAATAACTACTATGACTACCGTAGTTAAAAAAAATCACCAGTGTTTGTACAGCATTTCCTGGGAAAAATGATTAGGGAAGTGTGGTCCCTATTCTACTGATGAAGAAACTGAGGTTCAGAGAGCTTGTAATAACCGTCGGTATACAAGAAGCAGAGCAGTGATTTCAACTATCTTTTGAGTCTAAGTTCAGTATTCTTCCTACTAACTCATATTGCTTCTAGTGCTTATCCAAGTGCCAATAAAAGTATACACTAAATAACGAAATCTTTAGCTACAAAAACATATTTTCTAGGGCAATTAAGGCTTTATCTCAAGGGAAGTAAAGGCACACAGTTCTGTGACACCTATAAAACTGCTAAATATGAGATAGACTTATTACTGGAGTACAAACCCACTAACGATCCAAAATGTATGGGAGAGGGGTGGAGTAGGAGGGGAAGAGAGGTAGGATTTGCAGTTTGTTGTGTTGTTAGTAAATTTCTCTAGGGACAGTGTGATAAAAATAGAGTATATTGAATTGCATAAACAACAAAATTCCCTGGACTTCTAAAAATTAACTAGAGAGAGAATTCAGGCTTTTATAGTTAAGTCAGATAATCAGTAAGGATTTATTAAGTGCTTATAAGTGCCAGGTACTGAGCCCTAGGGATACAAGGAAAGGCAAAAGACAGTGCCAGCTCTTGAAGAATTCACAGTCTAATGGGGAAGAAAACCTGCAAACAACCATGATCAAACAAGATATACACAGAATAAATTGGGGATAATCAATTGAGGGAAGATTCATGTATTAAAGAGGATCAGGAAAAGCTTCACTTACAAGATGGGATTTTAGGTGGAATTTGAAGGAAATCAGGGAAGCCAGCAGGTGGAAATGAGAAGAGAGAGCATTCTAGGCCTGGGGAGTAGCCAGAGAAAATGCCCAGAGTCCAGAGATGCAGCGTCTTGTTAGAGAAACAGTGGGAAAACCAGTGGCACAGAGCATGTGATGGAGAGTAAGTTTAAAGAAGGCTGGAAAGAGAGGAGGAAGCCAGGCCATGAAAGGTACTGAATGCCAGAGGGTTTTATATATGATCCTGTACATGACAGGGAACCATTGTAGTTTATAGAACAGAGGGATGACATGGTCAGACCTGAGCTTTAGGAAGATTAATTTGACAGCGGAAGATGGATTGGAATGGAAAGAGACTTGAAGCAAGGAGACAAACCATCAGGCTATTGCAGTAGTTCAGGTGGGCCTTGCCCTAGAATGGTAAGTGCCAAAGGTGAGAGAAGTTAGGAAGGTATTTGGCAACAGATTAGCAGAGTGGATAGAACATTGGGCCTGGAGTCAGGAAGACCTGAGTTCAAATCTAGCCTTAGACCTTTACTGTGTAACCTTGGGCAAGTCATTTAACCTCTGTTTGCCTCAGCTTCCTCGTCTATAAAATGAAGATAGTAATAGTACCTTCCTCCCAGGGATGGTGTGAGGATCAAATGAAATGATATTTGTAAAGCATTTAGCATAGTGCCTGGTATATAGTAAGTGCTACAGAAATGCTAGTTATTGTTATTGTTGTTGTTATATAGGGAGTGACAGAGAGTGAGAAGTGATCTAGTGTCAAAGGCTGCAGAGAGGACAAGAGTGAGGAATGAGAGAAGGCCATTCGATTTGGGAATTAAGAGATCACTGGTAACCTTGGAGAGAGCAGTTTCAGTAGAATGATGGAATCAGAAGAGGAAAGAGTTAAGAAGAGAGTGAGAGGAAAAAATGTAATCTACTATTTTCTCCTATTTAAAAAGTTTATTAGCAGATTACTAGAGTGTGGGAAAAAACATGGGGAAGTGTGTTAAAATTTTTTTTCAATTTTCAAAAATCCTTTGAATAGATCATAAATTAAGTATCTTTCTTGAAAGTCAACTAAACCTATTTATTTATTTATTTATTTCAATCTTACAACTTAAAATAACTTGTAGTTTACAATTGCCTGTGGCACAGAAATCAATATCTGTTTTTCCAAAAATGATGCTCCAGGGCTAACTTGAGACACAGTGGGTATTGGTTTAAAATTGACAGTGTTAGGGGATTGTCGTTAAGATGGCAAATAAGAGAAAGAAGAAAAGCTGAGCACTCTCTCACAACTCCTCCAGCCAGGATAAGAAAATAGCATCAGACTGAGAAATGATGAAGAATCCAGGGGGAAACTACAAGAAGTGAATTGCCTAATCTCTCCAGGTCCACATCAAGAGACAGGTAGAAGTTTGGGAGCCCTTGAGAATGCACCTGGCCAGAAAAGTGCAGCTAAGGGAGCATAGTTTAGGGAAACCTTATTGGACCAAGGTCAAGTCAGGGAAATCAGGAGCCTGTAGGTATATCTTTCTGACCCCAGAAGTCTGTTGGACTAGGATTCAAAAGGCAACACTGGATGGTGTGGGGGCATTCCCTGCATCAGGCTGCCCAAGTGCAGACCACCCTTACACTATCTGCTCCGTATGCTTCCTGGAGCAGCTTATGACATTCTTGACTATGTCTTGACTATGGCTCATTACTTAGAATCCAGATGATACAGATCAATACAAAAAAGTCCTCACTATTCCTTCTAAAAGTGACACAAAGTGACTTTGACACAAAGGCCCAATTTGGGACTGGAAAAAAAGAATAAATACAGGTAAACACCAATGATAAAGAAACATTATGGAGTCACAGACACACCAGACCCAAACCAAGAATAAGAGTAACTGCACATCATTTAGAAACAAAGCGTCCAATACAGTAACCACAAGTAATGCATGAAATACATGATACAAAGGTTTAAATGTGGTTATATAAAAGAGGACTTAGATCCCTCCCAGCAAACAACGGTTACAAAAAAGATTATCAGGAATAGTTAGTAAACTTTTTTTTTTTAATCAAAGTAATCACTAAAAGGAAATTAGAAGTTATTGGGGTAAACAAAAAAAATACTATTGAACTGATAAATAAAAATAGGTTATTAAAAAGTAAAATAGGTAACTCATTAGCCAATCTAATTTTTTTACAAAAGGAAAAATAAATCACTAGAATAAAAAATTAAATAAGAGATAATAATGACAAATAAAGGAGAAATAAAGGATATTATTAGAAATATTTTTGCCTAATTATATGCCCTAAATTGACAATTTAAATGAAATGTATATAGCTTTAAAAAAAAAAGCAACTGGATGAAAAGAATAAAAAGAGAATTTAAATGACCCAGAATAGGAAAAATATAGTAAACAACGCATAGATGAATTCCCAAAGAAAAAGCCCCAGGATTAGATAAATTTAACAATTAATTCAATCAAAGCTTTCAAAGAATACTTAATTCCATATTACATAAGCTATTTGCAAAAATTGGAAAGAGTAGTAGCATAATACTTCTATAATACAGATATGGTTTTGCTATCTAAACAAGGGAGCAACAAATAAGAAAAAGACAAACTGTAGGTCACTATCCCTACTGAAGAATAATACAAAAATTTGAAATGAAATATCATCAAAGAGTCTTCAGTAATGCACAAAAAATTATACATTATAACTAAATGAGATTTATACAAGGAATTCAGGGCTGGTTTAATAGTAGGGAAAGCATGAACATAATAGACCATATTAATAAGAAAGCAATCAAAATCACATAATTATATCAG